GGGCAGGATGGCGGGTCAGTGCAGAGTCTCTCTTGTTGCCAATGCTACTGCCAGGACCCTGAATTTTAAGAACTATTCCTCTAAAGCAGGGATGCGGTTTCTTTCCTTAAAGAAGAGTATATGGAGGATTGAATGTTTGTGTAACAACAAATTGTCATGTTATTTTAATGAGTTTTCAGGCAGCCTCCATAAGAATTTTTCCAGTTCAGTATTTGTGTCAAGTTGCGATAGTGACACACCTCCCTGCCTGGCTGAATGGAGGGAAAAGCAGGATTTATTTATTTATTTTGGTAAAGGAGCAGCACGTAGAAAACTCACCCTACGCCCTGAGCGTGGATAATTGCTGCCATCTCTGAGCTTTGCACTTATAAAATTTCTGTCATGTCACCCCTCACTCTGCCCGGCTCGTCACAGGAACCGGGTGGTCACTGATAAATACGGTGAGTGCTTTTCAAAGGCCACTGCAGGAAATCCCAGTCACCACAGCTCCACTTAGGGTTGTCAGTTTTGGTTGGACTTATTCCTGGAGGTTTCGTCACGTGACATAAACTTTAATTCTGGGGACTCCAGGACAATCCTGGAGGTTCGGCAACCCTAGCTCCAATCCAGATTTAGTTAACAAATTCTGTCTTTATTAATTACAAGTAAACCCATGAATGTTTCTCTAGAGGTGCTCTCTTTATCCTCCCAAGCACAGTGAAGTCTTATTACAGATCCCAGTTCAGACATCATTCTCAAAAGCTGCTGGGTCCTACATCCTCCAGACTTGGTCTTTCTGCCTCCTTCTCAGTAACCTGGACCCACACAGTCCCCAATGAGACTAGTCTCTGGTGTCTTGAGAGTCCATTCCTGGCACCTTCAGCCAGGTCCTGGAACAACCCATCTCTTTCCGGCAAGTCTCAGCTCTCTCTTCTAACAGTCGTTGCCCAACTGCCAGCATTTGAATGAGCATCCCATGGTGTAGGGGCACTGGAACGGGGAGAGGGGGGCGGCCGAGGGCCATGGCTCTCCCACTTTTGAAAGGGCCATGATTCTCCCATCCATTTTTTGTCAGGGGCCAGGGGAAGCTGGAGCCTGGCCTCGGTAAAAGCAGCCTGGGGAGCCTGGGCAGCTGTGGGGAGCTGCAGACCCTCTAACTTGCCTGGGCGGGAGGTCCAGGGGGCGGGGACACAGGCTGGGGGCTGCTCTCGGGTCCCTGCACCCTGAGCAGGTGGAGGGGCCCGAGCTCCCCAGACTGGCTCTGGCTTGGCTAGGGGGTGGGGCCTCGGGGGGAAGCGGAGGGACAGGGATGGAGCCACGGAGGGGGTGGGACCTCGTAGCCTCCCCACGTGTAGGAAGAGTCCGTCGCCCCTGCCATGGTTACTCTTTGCAGCCCAATGGACTTCAGAGTCCTCAGAAGTCACATCAGCATCTCACATCCAGCTGCAGGTTTTACTTCCCACAACCCCTTACATAAACTAACTTTAATTCAGTTCAGCACCCAACCGTCTCCACACCCTGGAATAACACCTGTGCTTGATGCCAGACTGACTTTTATTTCCTGCCTCTGTCACCTGACATCAGGTTATACCTTTGTCACATGGCCAAGGTCAGTATCCCTTGACATCAGGGGCTACCGTTGCAGTGGAGAACCAGAATAACTGCATTGTCTCAGACTTTGTATATGATCAGTTCTCTTCTCTCTAAGATACGTATTTTCATAACCTTGTCAGCAGACACACATTAGAGATGTTTTCAAACGTCAGTGCTGCCGTCTTCAGGAAAACAGTTCAGAGGATAAGGCAGAGGGTGTCTCTAGTGGATCTTTTCTTGACCCAAAGCTATTCAATAGCTTTGTCAACGATCTGGAAGAAATATCAAATCATTTCTGGGAAAGCTTGCAGATGACACAAAAATTGGTGGAGCGGTAAATAATAATGACAGTTCAGTTATACAGAGCGATCTGGATCATTGGTAAGCTAGGCTCACTTGAACAATATATGTTTTTATACAGTCAATTGCAAAGCCTATATATATGAACAAAGAATGTAGGTCACACTTACAGGATGAGGGACTCTGAAAAAGACATAGGGTTCATGGTGAATAACCAACTGAACATGAACTCCCAGTGCAATGGTGTTTTGAAGATGGCGAATGCTATCTTGCTATCTTTGGATATATAAGCAAGAGAATATCGAGTAAGGTTAAGGAGGTGGTATTACCTTGGTATATGGCATTAATAAGATTATTAATGTAATACTGGATTTCTGGTGTCTGTACTTCAGAAAGGCTATTGAAAAATTGGAGAGGGTTCAGAAAAGACCTACAAAAATGCTTTAAGGGCTCCTTAATCTAGCAGACAAACGCATAAGAAGATCCAATGCATTACCTAGGGAGGTGGTGGAATCTCCTTCCTTTGAAGTTTTTAAGATCAGGCTTGACAAAGCCCTGGCAGGGATGATTTAGTTGGGGATTGGTCTTGCTTTGAGCAGGGGGTTGGACTAGATCAGTGGTTCTCAAAGCTGGTCTGCCGCTTGTTCAGGGAAAGCCCCTGGCGCACCAGACCCGTTTCTTTACCTGCCACGTCGGCAGGTTCTGCCGATCGCGGCTCCCACTGGCCGCAGTTCACCGCTCCAGGCCAGTGGGGGCTGCAGGAAGCGGCAAAGGTCAAGGGACGTGCTGGCCGCCCTTCCCACAGCCCCCATTGGCCTGAAGCAGCAAACCGTGGCCAGTGGGAGCCGCGATCGGCCGAACCTGCGGACGTGGCAGGTAAACAAACCGGTCTGGTGCGCCAGGGGCTTTCCCTGAACAAGCGGCGGACCGGCTTTGAGAACCACTGGACTAGATGATCTCCTGAGGTCCCTTCCAACCCTGATATTCTATGATTCTATGATTCTATAAGCTGAAGCTAGACAAAATCAGACTAGAAATAAGGAGCATTATTTTAAGCAAAGGTAATTAACCATTGGAACAACTTACCTAGAGATATGGTGTATTTTCATACAATCACTTCCATCACCTGAAGTGTTTAAAGCATGACTGGATGTCTTTCTAAAAGATATTACCTCTTGTGACCTGAGTGTTTAGCCAATATTAGGAGTCTTGCAGGTTATTTCAGTGAAGTGGAGAAACTGATGATGGAGTCAGGTATTTCTTTGATGAAATCCTGAATATTTACAAAGAATGTACAAAGTTTTGTTTCCCTCACCACAATAGGAATCAAACAGCAGGAGACAGTTTTTTTGCTCACAGTTCCAAGCCTCTTTCAGCCAGCACTCCACCCAAAAAGTTCTCTCTGTCTCTAGGCTTTTTCTTAGACCCCATTTCCTATGCTTGTTCTGGCTGTCCTCTTGGATTTCTGCTGCTTCTCTCTCACATGCACAATCACACAGTTGTAATTAAATCAATCCTCCATCCTATCATTTGTTAACAGACTCCCAGAAAAACACTTGGACTGCATGGCTCAGCCATTGCCCTGGTTTACATGTGGTCTAGTCCATGGGCAGTGGTTTTGCATTGTTTCAGCTATCACTAAACACACAGGCATTTAATTGCTCCCGCATTTAGCATGAATGGAAGGCAGCTATCCTGCTCAGCAGTTCCAACAAGGTGGTGGTGTGATTGCCATAGGTGCCAACACCGTGGGCGCTCCAGGGCTGGAGCACCCACTGGGAAAAATTAGCAGGTGCTCCGCACCCACCAGCAGCCAAGCTCCCCTCTCCTTGCCTCCTTCCCCCCCCCCCAAGTGCGCTACATCCCTGCTCCTCCCAGCCCTTCCCGTCCCCTGCCGCCTAACAGCTGTTTGGCGGTGCTTAGGACTCTCTGGGAGGGAGGGGGAGGAGCAGGGATGCGACATGCTCAGGGGAGGAGGTGGAGAAGAGGCAGTGCAGGGGCGGGGCCAGGGGCAGGGCGGGTCGAGCACCCACCGGGCAGAGGGGAAGTCAGCGCTTATTGTGATTGCCCAACCTCCATCATAACAATATGCTCTAGCTCAACCTGAATCTTTGGGCTCGATACAGGAGCTAGTGGGTAAAATTATGGCCTATGATAGACTAGATAGCCAGAATGGTCCTGTCTGGCTTTGAACATCAGACTAGATAGTGTTAATGGTCCCTTCTGGCTTTGAATCTTTGAGCCACAAGTACTTTTAGTTTGCTGTGTTGGCAGGCTAAGAACACTTCCGCACAAGGGCCTGGGAAAGACAGACAAGTTCTCCCACAAAACACGGCACAGCTCTATACAGCACTAAGAACCATGGGCTTCGCCTCAGAAATCCTAGCACCTGACCCAGGTTAATGCAGCGCCAGCTTGGACGCAGCTACATGGGTATGACCTGAGCTTGGCTTAGCAGGGTGGACATTCACACCCAGGGTTGGCTCACCTGGCTGCCTGGACTTGGGTAAAGTGCAGTGAAGACATACCCTGGGAGCAGGATATGTTTCCCCGACTGGGGACATATCAGATGTGAAACTGACGATACAGCCTTTGATGTGTTGTAAGAATCCCTCAGTATGGTTTTTTTTTTCTACAGAAGGGATAAGGTATTTGGGGGGAAGGGAGAAAACTGCAGGGTGGGGGAAAAAATCCAAGGAATGTTATTCACCGTGACGGGGTTGGGGGGGGCGGGGGGAGAGAATATTCCTGGGAAGGCTGCAGACAGGGAGGGGTTAATATGTTTCCACTCTTTCCAAATCCTCCTCACTGAAGCCCCTCCCCTAGTGCAGCCAAGAAGCAGAGGAATTTTACAAAACTTAAAAAAAAAGGGGGGGGAATAAAAAAAATAAAAAGTGCTGTTTTTTTTTCTTTTTAAATAACAACTAACAGAGTTCCTCGCTTTCCCCCAAAGGAGGCGCCTTTGATGAGACTAAAACAAACTGCTGGCGGGAGCTCTGTGTAAAGAAGGAATTAGCTGTGTCGTGCGTGTGTCTCATATGCTGACTCTGTGGCTGCTTGCTGCCTTCTCTTAAGTAGCTTTTTGGATATTGAGTCCTTTTTAAGCACTCTGCAAAGAAAGTGTTTGGGGTTTTGGTTTTTCCCCCCCTCCTCCCCTTGAAAGGAAGAATGATTCCTGAAATCAGAGAGCTTTCCTTTTTCCTGGGATTTTTGCTGCTTTTTATTGCCTCTGAGATTGAAGCCAGAGCTCGTAAGTAAAGAGCGATTAAAAAATAAGATATAAAGGAATGATTAAGGATGAGAAGTAGGGGAGGGAAGGAATTGAATGATGGGGACCAGGACTGTGCAGTTGTCTGCTGGGGAATTTTTCCTCAAGAGATTCTGTGTCTGGAAGGAACGATCATAATGGATAATTAATGATAATTAGGAAAGGCTGCATTTGGCAGGAATAAGTGCAGAGATGCATGTATCGCTAGCATGTGGTCTCCCTTATGCTGACAGCAGTGGGTACCAGGTATGAAAACATAGGGTCAGATTCTAACCTGGATCCCACCTGTGTAAATTCTCTTCACTGGCTCTATTACTGCTTTCCACTGGTGTAGCTGAAAACTGAACCTGAGTCACGAGGTTGTGAACAGCTCAGTTGCTAGAGACAGCTTTGCCTTAAAGAGCGCAAGCTACTGATTGATGCTCCGGATTGTACTAACCAGACATCCGTACTCAGGTGACAGAATGCAGTGTCAGTAACATGTCAGTGAACCTCTTGCCCCAGAAGAGACTCTCAGGTGCGGGGAGTTATGATTTTTGAGCAATCTGCTTTTTGCACCAGTGGTGTTCCAAAGAGAAACGAGCAATGCCTCAGCAGCCCTGCTTGTGGCAAGTCTGTAGTAAGGAACTCAGAGCCCGGTGTTCCAATGGATTGACGCTGGGAGGCTTGTCCTTACAGCTACAGAGAAAAAAAGATGCTCGTCTGATTAGATTGCATTCCTAGAATGCAGGAGATCTGACCTCTGTTCCCAGCACTGCCACAGGCTTGCTGTATGTGGCCTTGGGCAAGTCTCCTAACCCCTCTGTTTCCCCATATGTAAAATGGGGCCAATAACACTGTGGTGTTCAGTGTTTGAGGTATAAGTCATTACAGTCTCTAAAATGCTTAGAGATCCTGTCTTTAGGGTATTGGCTTCATACTTGACCATAAAGTGCCTTGCATGCAGGCATCAGTGATTATAACAGAAGTGCTAACAAAGTTGAAAGGTTTGTTAATAAACAGATAGAAGTATTTGCATTGAAAACTAGTGTGGATGCATGCTCTTCTGCCTAGCTTCTAAGGGAGTTGTTACCAGTAAAGCTTTTGTTTATAATTTCTTCTCTCTCCCTCCCGTCCGAAGTGAGTACAGTGCAGGCTCTCTTTAAGTGCAGTGAGCTATGGATGCTCCTTTTCTAGACAGTCTTGTTTTGAGAACCCACATGCTTCTGGTCCACCTGCAAGCGTTTCTGATATCTCCCCTAGCAATAGCCTCATGCTCACCCTCGCTGCTTATGCTGAATATCCTCCATGCCTGGGTCTTCCTCTCATGGCAGACAAGGCTGTAAGAAAAGTTTTCCAAGGCAAGCCCAGATAACTGAGAATCGTTCCACTTTCTGAGAGAGCTAATCAGAAGGCAAAAGTATCACTAACAGAACCAATTCCTAGTATTGTGATAGTTGATACTAACCAAAGGGATTGGGAAGGTATTTGAAGCCCCATGCTTCAGGGTTTAAGACATTCCCTACCTATTAGGGATTAGGATGAGATTTTCACGGGAGGCAGGTTCTCCCACATCTGCTCACTGTGGGGTTTCTTGCACCTTCCTCCGACGCATCAGGTGCTGGCCATTGTCAGAGGCAGGATCTGGTCTAGCTAGAACTCGGAACTGATCCAGTCTGGCAATTCCTACCTTGTTCTTGCTTCTCAGTGGCAGGTAGGAGCTGCAGATTTCCACTGACTGGGGAATATCCTTTAGAAACAATGGTACCAGGCACATATACGATTCTGTTACTTACCTTGCAGAACTTCCTGTTCCCACCAACTCCCCCAAAGAAGATATTTTTTCAGAGCAATAGTTCTGACTGGAAGTATATATCTCAGCCTGGTCAATTGCCTGGCTGTCCTTCACTACTAACAACCTGATTTAAGAACAAGGGCATGGTTGGCTTCTTTTTCTAGTCTGCTCTCTTCACCTTTCCTCTCTGCTCATGCTATACAGCAAGCCTATTTTGTGCCTTCATAAACCTATCAGGGAGGTTGTTTTGCAGTGGGACATAAGCATGGACATCTTTCTGCTGGCCATGATGCAGGAGTTCCTTCTTTGGCATCTGGTCCACTGACATGGGAAAGCCCTATCCTCCAACCCCAGCAGCTCCTCGCTTTACCTCTGAGTTTCAGTGAGACAGGCTATATTGCTGGTAGGGGATGTTTCTGGCTAGGGAGTCAGGAGATTATTTCATTCACTGGTTTTTATTCACCAGATGCAATAACATCCCAACATGCGATTTGGAAACTGGTAAACTATTGGTAATGCAGTTTATCATATTGAAACAATAGAGTGTTGTGGCCAAAGTTTATGGCGTCATCTGCTTCTTCGTCTTCCTATTCCCCAGCACATAAAAGTGTTAGGGCTTAATCCTGATCTGAGTTGTGTGAGTAGATGTTGCTCAGATCAGCTGAGCCACTTCACACATGCTTTACAGCTGATTTTGCAAGGCACATGGCAATTCAGTGCTAACTCAGCTGAGGGCTGTCCCAGGGAGCAATGATTTAACAGGGCTGGGAAGATGGAGGGGCGATGCTAGCTGGGGATCTTAAAAGGTAGAAGTAGGAGCCTTTAGCTGGTGAGCTAAAAGAAAGCAGGGCTGACTGTAGACATAACTCTCCCCTCTTCGACCAGAAGAGGTCTCTCTTATACGCAGCTAGACAGCGGCTACTCCAGCTCCTGCACCTGTTAACTTGTCTGCTTTCAGCTGTCGGGCAGCGAGCAAGTTCCAAAGGGTTAGATGTTGTTCTAGCCAAGGGCTTAAAAGTGATTCAGTGGCAGCAGAGGCTGGTAGATTTTAGTCTGAGCATATAGACACCCTGTGTGTGCCAGACCTTACTGTGGCTATGTGTGCTGTGGATTCACTCGTGTAGGTCCGGATTCTGCCACCCTTATCCCAGTGAAATCGGTGGCTTAGATTGTTCCCTCCCGGGGGAAAAGCAGTCAGAGGGGATTGCTTGGGAGGAAGCCTACATGGGAATTTCCTAGCTGAGATTTCCCTGAATCATCCTCTTATGGGGTAGCAGAGATTTGCTCCCCTGCGGAGAAGCTGCCCCTGGGATCTGCATGAAGCCTTGTATCTCTGCAGCAGCTTTGACCCCTCCTGACCCCCACCCCACCAATTCGGCACTACTGGAGCTTTGCTACTGGTGATTATCCCTCTGGCTGCAGCAGCTCTCCAGGATCCGCAGTGGGATCCAGAGCAAACCTGGCAGTTTATTAACTTCAGAGTGTAGATCCGTGGGGTTGGAATGTGGACAGAGTACATCCTCTGCGAATCCTGTCCCTGGCCCACCCCCTGCTCCCAGGCCCACCCTGACTCCGTCTCCTCTCCAGTAAGGATTGCAGACAGCACAGAGAGGTCTCTGAGTGTGGGTACAGTGCATTGGAGTCCCTGAGCCCCTCTTCTGAGAGGAGGGATGGTCCAGTGGTTAAGGCACTAGTCTGGGATCCAGGTGACCAGGCATCAAGTCCCTGACCTGCCACAGATTGTGTCACTTAGCCTCTCAGTTCCTTATCTGTACAATGTAGAGAACAACATTGCCCTGCCTCACAGGGGTGCTGGTGGGAGGATAAATACACTGAAGATTGAGACGGGCTCAGATACTGCAGTGTTGGGGGCCATATAAGCACCTTAGCTAGATCGATTCCCCGTGAAGGAAGGAGGATCAGTGCATGGATCTAGCTGGGATGATCTAGAACAATGGGATGGCATGAAAAGTGAGGTATTACTCAGTGTAAGGGTGGTGGGTCTGGCTGTTAGTGTGATGACTCAAGAGCCCAGCCCAAAGCATTGCACCCCCTTATATAATGTAAACTCCATGCTAGCACAAACCCAATAATAACAAAATCAGTCAAATACATACGGTTAGTAGCTAGCGACTCTATAAAGATCCTGGTGGAAACTGGTCTTGCAGAGACCCGTTTTTAGTGCGCGTGCTCAATCAGAGGGAGCATGTCTGTGGCTCCTTGCGCTGGCATTTGTAGATTTCTCCAAACTGAGAAATATTAGATTGACTGGAATGGAGGTTTGTAGTGGGAAATGAGACCCCTCAGAGTTTGCACAAATAGCCTGGGGATGTGTACAGAACGGGAGGGATGGGCCAGGCGTTAGGGTGCTGGCCTGGGACTCAGGCCAAGTGGGTGCAATTTCCTATGCACTACAGTGTCACTGCAGAGGTGGGAGGGGCTGGCTGCCCTGTGGATGTAGCTAGGATTTCAGAGGGGTACCTACTTGGGGTAGCCTGCCTCTGAGGTCATAAATCAGTCAGAACTAGCTTCAAAGCTGGAATTTACACCTCTGGCTCCAAGTGTAGACGTGCCCTTAGCCTGGGCTACACTTCAAATGTAGGTTGACCTAGCTATGTGGCTCAGGGTGTGAAAAATCCCGAGAGACTAATTAAGCCAACCAAAGCCCCATGATAGACACCGCAGGTTGACGGAAGGCATTCCAGATGGCGAGCACTCATTACTGAAACGGGGTTCAAGCCTGGTAATTATTTATCAATACATCACAAACAGTGCACAGCCGTTTAAGGCAAGAGGTGCAGAGTAACTTATTCATTAGAAATGAGGACCGGCAGCTGAGCAGAACGCAGTTACCTGCAGAGAAGTTTTAGTTGGGGATTGGTCCTGCTTTGAGCAGGGGGTTGGGCTAGATGACCTCCTGAGGTCCCTTCCAACCCTGATCTTCTGTGATTCTATGAAGTTAGCGCAGGCCACCAGGATTTGTATCCGTGTTGTTACAGAAAGTGCCACGAGATTTATAATGACCTCATGTGGTCATGATCACAGTTTTAGTCCTCTTTGAAGGGTGACACCTCCCCAGAAACACAGTGCCCCTAACACCCTGCCAGGATATTGCTTCAGTGTTGACTCAAGGAGGAACGGACCAACTAATGAAACTCTAGCGTTGCTTCCTGCAGTGCTCTGGGTTTCTTTAGTCATCTTCCGGTTG